GAGGAGTTGCTTTATACTAAATGCATAAATAGCTATGGGTAATAACTTGCAAAAACAAAATTTATTTTGTCATTTTATTACATTTACATTAAATTACAAACCTAAAAAATAGTATTATTACGAGACAACATTGCGAGTTGTTGATAGCTTGTTTATATGGTAACGCTTTTTGCTTGTTACAGTTCTATATGCACTGTTATTTAAAATCAAAACATTAGTTGTAAAAACAAATGAGGTCTACTACAAAAAATAAATTATTAAAAAAGGAATGAGAACAAAACATAAAGCAACAGAAAAGATGCAGTAAGCTAAATGCATTTAAAGAGACGAGCAGAAAACAAAGAGAAGAAAACCATAAAAATATATAATAAATAACTTAAAAATTAAATTATTTAAAGAAAAATGTTATAAAAATAAAAATTATCAAAGGAAAAAAATAAAAAGGCCTCATGTTAAAAATGATGATCGTTAGGTTTGATTGAAGCGTCTGGCGTTCAAAATATTATAGCAAAGCGAACGATATTAGAGGAACGCATAAAGCCATAGTGAAATGTAAGTAGCTTAAACTGGAAATCTTAAGGGAGAGACAGAAGAAAAAGTCTCGGCTTCGTCACATAAATGTTCTTTAAATCCTATGTCAACCCGCACAGTACCCAAAAAATAATTAAATTACTCAACAAATGAATCAACTATAATATAATATAAATATAAATTATAATAAGTACCAATTAAGCCATACATATTTAACAGTCTACCAAATTTTTTAATACAAAAGTACATTTAATTTGGCATTTTATTTTTTATTAGTGTTGGTTGGTTTGGGTTATTTTTTTGTATGAATTGATTTGGTAAGCTGAATACCACCTAATGATATGAAAAGACACTGACGAAAATGAAATATCTGGCAATCATGTTAGAATTAAATGCGGAGTAAAATCTACTGCTAAACATTTGGCAGTTTTATGAAAGAAAGTTTTTTGTATAAATAAATTTGGTAAATTTGGTAGATATGTATACCAAATAACATATTTATATATGTTATAACATAAAATGTATAAAGTGAGGTCAGAGTTGTTAGAAGTTTTTACATACTAGAATGTTAAAAACTTTACCTTCGCTATCTCTCAAAATCATTCGAGAATGCAAAAGATTTTCGCAATCGAGAATCAAACATTCAAAAACACTTCCACAGTTTATAAATTAGTAAACATTTTAAGAGAAAATTTTAAAACGGATTTAAAGGTATTTTATATACTTACTCTTATATTGACGAGCGATTTTATGGCATTTTAGTCACGGGCTGAAGTTAGCTTTATTATATATAAATTGGGAAAAGTGAGGTTAAATTCTGCTGACAGTTGACAAATGTCAAATTTTTTACATATAATATTGGCTTTAAGTTCTGTTTTGTGTTCGTCGTATTTTAAGTATAGGATGCAACTCTTTTTTTTATTAAACACTCGCTCGCAAGCTACTCTCGTGCTTAATTAAACTCGTAACTAAAATGGCGTTTATGAAACTTGATACATAATATACTATTGCGTACATAGGAGATAATAGAATATTTTGTTGGTGAGCTTTGACAATAATAAAGCTTAAATTATAGTACGCATAAATATAATAGTTTATTATTATACGAGAGATAATGCAGGCCATTATTCACGAAGATTGGTTTGCGTCTCGAGTCACCAGACGTAAATCATCCGACTGAATAATGCGCATAATCTCGAGAATACTACACTTTTATACTTCAAAGTAGATAATTAAATAATTTTCAAAAAAAATCTGACATCTGTCAAATAGTTAACCTTACTTTTTACCAATTTTAAATGTTATTATAGTCGCCTTCTCCCAAATTAAAATCCAATTGGTTCAAATCATAGTGAATATTAAAATCGGCCAATCACTGATGCCTAACAACGTGAAAATAAGTCCATTATTCCCGTTATTAGGCACTGAATGAACCCAATATTATGCAATAGTAGTAGACAAAAGTAATTATTCATATACTTTTGACCTGTATTATAAGTCTGTATATTATATATTATGTATTTAATTTTTTTTAAGGATTAACACTCATATAAAAATATATTTCTGTTAGTGTACCTACTGTGCGATTTCGGTAACGTTTATGAAGAAATATTCTTGTCGGCAACAGACTGCGTCTTAAATCGTTCTCTGACCCCATGTCTCCCCCACTTATTTCATACCCTTTCAAGTTTATGATTCTCCTGTCTCTCCATCTACCCCCAAAGCATCTTAAACATTTGTCTTACAATTTAAGGTATGTAGAGGATAATCACTTTAGACCGAGTTTTATAATGCCCTATTAAGAGGAACTCGTAAAATAACTAATAAAATAACAGTTATTTGGTCAAGTACCTCTTAGACACAACAAAAAGCTTTATCAAAGCGTTTCGCAAAAGTTTTCAAACCTGTCGCTCGAAAACTTTTGCAGGCGAACTTTGCAACATAAAAGTTGATTCCCTCGCGTAACATTGTCAATGAGTATCTATGTAAGTACTATGTGCATACATGTGTAATACATCACAGCCTTGTTTTAAAGGCAAAATTTATGGGATGCTAAAGAAACTCAAATATATACAAATTATTTCACGACAAATTTTATATCTTACATTGTTTGTTCCCACTGATTTTGGTTATTTTTAGCATCCCATAAATTTCGCCTTAAAAATAAGACTGTGATGTCCCTTTAAGATAAAATGCTGCCATTGGCCATTTGGCCAAAAAGTATCTTTTTGTAGATACCGTAAAATAAAATAATGCACCTGTCTACATCAATAAGTGTTTTGTATTTGTACGTTCTACGTTAGTGTTTTTGTATTCTTACTATGCATAGCTATGTAATGTATTATTATGTATTTTATTATTTATTTCAATGACGACTTGTAAAAATGTTTCTGTAAACATAATATGGCCAATAAAGATTATTATTATTATTATATATAATTTTAACAAATCTAACACAAAATAAGAGTTATACAAACATAACCTTAAAATCAAACATTTTAATATTTGAGCAATCTTAAAAACCCGAAAACAGCATTTTGAAATAGTTAAAGACAAAATATATCTACGAATATATACGAATAATACTCGTTTTTGGTCTTTTACCGTTGAGTGAAGACTTTCTTAATAAACGCTTTTACTAATTAATAATGCTGTTTGCATTTAGACGACTTATTTAATTTATGATTTCTACTGAATTTAAATTTTTTCCAATTTTTAATAAAATCTGTATTTATTATTTCTTCATTCGGGATCCCATTGTTTATTGGGAAACCGTTTAAAACTCAACCCCAGATTTCCTCTCGAAAAACACCCATATTTTTAACATTTTTCTGCCTTATTCTCAACATCGATCCTTCTTTAGCCTATAATATGCAATAGGCGCAAAAAAATGTAAGGGTGCTTTTTAATGTTTGTTGACAAAAAATCCGATAATTCATATTTAGAAGATAGCATAAAAATTAAAAACATTTTGATATAGTAGTCTAGACCGAACGAAAATATCACCAAAGATTTTTTTATGACAGAGTAACATTAGCTTCTTATTTCTTTATTTTTTTCTAAAAATTCACAGAACCTGTTTTTTTCAAATATTCAGGAAAGCTTCAGCAATCTATCTTGCACTATTAAGCAGGGTATATATATAGGGTGTCCCAAAAAAAAAGAATATATTTTTTTTTCTTGTCTCTTGTAAAAATCTGTTAGTTTATCATGCTGTGAGAGCCCTTTCAAAATATCAGCTCGATTAAAAATTTTGTAGGGGGTCGCTCAAGATTTTTAAAAATTTTCAAAATGGTCAAAAATTGAATTTTTGTTTTATTTTAATTCTTTTTCTCGTCTCGATATTATTTTTTAGGTTGAAAATAATAAAAATTCTGTCAATTTCAAATCAATATTTTGATTTCTAAAGGTCGCTAAAAGTTCGTTGATATTTATATTCAGAGGTCGCTCGAAAACATTCAAAATACTCTACTTTGAAAGTTAAAAAAATCTTGAGCGACCTTTAGAAATTAAAATATCGATTTGAAATTTTCAGAATCATTATTATTTTTAAATTAAAAAATAATATCGGAAAGAGAAAAAAAATTAAAATAAAAAAAAATCCAATTTTTGACGATTTTGGTAATTTTTAAAAATCTTAAGCGACCCCTAAAAATTTGATCTTTTGACAGGGCTCTTAAAACATGACAAACCAACATATTTTCACAAGAGACGAGAAGAAAAAAAATATTCTTTTTTTTTTGGGACACCCTAATATATATATATATATATAGTGATTGTATGCTACGACACCCACATAACCGATGTACAATCAAACACCCACACTTATATACGTATAAAATAGAAGGATCACATGTTGCTGTATTAGCACCCATGTAAATCTTGTCTATGAGGCACCAAAATGTATGAACTTGTGATATTGCGTGTCAAAATGACACCCTACAGCGTTGCCAAGATATTTCACTGTTTTATACGTATAAAACAATATTGTCAAAATGGCACCCCCGTTAATATTGGTTCTAATGACACCAATATGTATGAACTTGCGATATAACAGGTCAAAGTGACACCTTACAGATATTCATAAATATAACATATTTTTGGAAAATTACGGTTTTATACATATGACACGAAATTGTCAAAATGGCACCCTCGTTAATCATGGTCCGAATGACACCAATATCTATGACAGGTCAAAGTTATTCTTACACGAAATATTCCTTTCTTTCTTTTTAAATCTGCAATTTAAGCCAAAAAAACCTGAATGCACTTAGTACACGAACGCCCTTATTGTGAATATATGGGCCACTAAATAAAAATATGTTTTAAGTACTCTTAGTTTATTAACATAAACATATTAAAAAAAACATTGCTAAAAGTAAAAAAAATAAACATTCGCTGTTTTAGTGATCCAATTAAGAATTTCTCAATTATTTTTTTCTGCCCTCGTTAAAAATAAAAATTTTTACTCTGGACCAAGTCACTCCCTCAAAATCACTGCTGTATGCTTTAATAAAATCTTTGCATTCTTGTTTTCGTAGCGCTTTCTTTGATTTTATTTGCATTTTAAAGTATTTCTTCATCAGAATTTTTTGGACGGGGGACCATCGTAGTCTTGAACCTATGAAATCAAAATATAAATATTAAATAAAGAATCATAATGGCTTCAAAATACCTTTTTTTGTCCGTTCATTTTTGTCCATTTGCTGCTCCGTATTTTCTTTATCTGAAATTTCTTCCTCTCCTTCCTCCAAAATATCAAGTTTTGTTCTGTTCTGTTTATCTAAGTAATCGGTTCCCTCTTGCTCAATAATATCTTTATTTTTATCACTGCCAATTTCTTTATTTTTTTCTATCAAACTGTTTGTCAACAATTTATCGGTTTCACTTTTGTTACCTAGAACTTATTTATTTATAAATATGTATAAATGCAAAAAAAATACGTGTACACAATTTTGAGGACACATCGGTGGCGCAAAGATATAAAGAAAGGTTTTTAAAACATAACTTTAATGACAAAAATCAATATGAATGTTTAAAATAATAAAGTTATACTTATGCTTATTGAATACTATACTTCTAGAAAATCTATTTTATAGTGTTGGTTTAAATAAATAAAATCAATTAGCATTTTTTCAACAAAAAACATTTTCTTTTAATCTTTGATGCCCCCAGCTACAGTTTAATATACACTACAGTTTAATTACCAAATTTGTAAATTATACATACCCAAAGTGCTGCTTATGTTGGAATTTTGCATTTTATCATCTTTATCCAAAACTGACTCTATCTCATTCATGTCAATATCAATTTCTTCTAGCGTCTTATTTTTAAATTCCGCTGCGTTGCCCTTTTCCATTATTTGAAGGATTTTAGATACTTTTGCGATCTGGTATACATCTTGAGGCAGTCTTTCATAAAATTTAATATTCAATAAATAGGTTCGAGAGCAATAAAGATATTTTTTTAAATTTTAGGTACACATGGAATTAAGTTCAATAAGTTTGGAAGGGGTTTAAAGTTACAGATCCATGCTCTATGCGAAAACACATTAAGTGAAATATTTTTATTATTTTATTTTTTTAACTAAAAAGTATGTTTTTATACTATATTATACTATCTTAAAATTTAATGTAATATCTAAATCGGTTTTGATAAAAACAAAAAATTTTAGCACCCTGTATATAAACAAGTTTTTTAGCACACATTTATATGAAACTTTTGACTTAACGTTAGACCAAGGATTATCCTTTAAAATAACTAAATAACATTAAGTAACACCCTGTAAATAAGTCAAGTAATTTTGGAATGGAGAAGCCGATTTGTCAAGGCATTAAAATGATGTTTTATTTTTTGCTAGGTATTTGCCATAAAAAATAGTATATTTCTCAATGAGTGCAGAATGAACTGTTTTTTCCAAAGTACCTTCTGCACAAGTTAAGGACTATACTTTTTCTAACTACATGGGGAAAATAAGAATTTTGATAAAAAAACAACTAGATGTCACATTTATAAAAACAGGTACTCGAGTTTTAACTTTACCCAATTTTGCCAAATGCTTTTAAACTGTGAACTAATCTTTAAGAGTTGGTCATTATTTCTACGTGAACTATTGAATTTATTGAATAAAAAACTTACTTGTAAAAGCTTTCATGCGTTTTGGTTGTATGACCCATAAACTTAGCCAATTGGTCAATTTCGTTTGATTGTAAATTAAGTAGCTGTGTAACAGTTGCAATATGTTTTCTTAACCTACATGATGTGAGTAAGTTAGGAAATTTGGCATTGGATAACATTGCATATTTTCGGACAACAACACAACCATCAATCCAAAATTTTGATTCAGGATATGAAAAAAAATAGGTATTCTCGATTGGAAACCATGGTTCTTTTCTTAGTGTGCATAAAAGTTTGTAATGTTTAAACATCTTTTTTGGAATTAAAATTGTAACCGGTCTGCTGCCTTTTCCTATTGACACTATTCTTTTATAATTTTGAGTTAAAATCCTCTCATTTTCGGTTAATGAACTAGCCATTTCTGTGTGTAAAATAGTATTTTCTGTCTCAAATTGCTCTTTTAATGAATGCCATTCCAAGTATTGAACATCTCCTACTCTCTTTCTTTTGTGCAAAATAGTAGCCACCAGTACCGTTTCCACCAGAATTCTATATGTCGCTATATCTTTTTTATTTTTTAGTACTGTATAGGCTTCCTCAGCTTTATCTTCAATTAATTTTGCTAACTTAATTATATCTTCGGTTATTGGCAGCAATTTGGGCTTCATCGCCGACTTCTCATTCAAGTCCTTTAGTGCCAAACTTCCAATTTCAGTAGCCCACTGAGTATCCACCAAGTTCTTAAACCTTTCAAGATCAATCAATGTTTTATCAACATCTTGATAAAAATAAGGAATTTTTTTTCTCAAAATTAGTTTCATTGCCAAATCACATAAATTTACCAAATTGGTTCTAAAATGTAATGCCAATGATGCTGCTCCAAAATTTCTCTGGGAAATATCGTACCTTGAGAGCGACTTTACAGCCTCAATAGTATTGTCGAAATTTTCAGGTCTTAAAACTGACATTAAATTATCATAAGGTGTAATTTTTTTCATTTCAATAAGAAATTTGGCACATTCACGAAGTTTGTTAGAAATATGAGAAAAACGTCTTTTCATTTTTATTTTTTTGAGTAAATCCTCTCCATAATAAATTATCAAAATGTCATTACTTGCTGTTTGAGTAATTTCATCCGCCTGCATTCTCTCAAAAACTTCTTTTTTTACTTGAAGCTTATTTAATACTTCTCCATACTTTTTCTGGCAAGCCATATATATATAGGATTCAGTTAAAGGTTTAGTTCCGTCACTAGACCCAGATGGTTTTGCAAAACACTTTTTCACATGTCTGCTCAAGAATAACCGCTTGAAAAACCCTTTGCAGTATTTGCATAACGCAAAATCACTTTCATTTACTTCTTCGCCGGGTTTGTATTTTTTAGGTATAATTTTTCCCCTTAATCCATCATCCAAACATCCTTGATGGCGAAGTAGTAAAAGCATATCTTTTTTCTCCTTAGAGTTTGGCTTTTTATTCATTAATTCTTTTACCTCAAGTTCATCTCTATGTTTTCTTTCTAAATGCCTTGAAAAATGTCTTGAAATCACCTCTTGTTCGCAAAATTTGCAAATGGTCTTCTTATATTTATTTTTTATTAGCAACGGTGAGTCATACAGTGTTTTCTATAAACAATAAAACTATTAAATTTAACGTTGCTTATATAAAATTTAAAGTTGCTTTCCAAACCTACGGCTATAACCTACAATCAAACCTAGATTGTGCAAATCTAGGTCCCAAATTTGAATAAAATTAACATTAGACTTTGGGAAAAAAGCTTAGTTGTGGAAAAAATAAATTTTAGCAATTACTTTTTCGTTGTCAAATGGTCGGATTTTAAATAATAAACATCTTAAAGGTTAGACAAAAAGTTATGTTTAATTATTAGAGATTTAGAGATTTTTAGTTTAACAAAACTGAAATAGGCAACTAAAAAGGTACTCAAAAAGCATTTTAAAACGGAATTAAAATTCATGTTCTGGATAAAATATTTTCGCAAAATTTAACAATAAAAACAAAAAGATAAAAACGGGTAAAAATAAATGAAATAAAAATGGCAAAGTAAAAAGTAGAATAAACATGTACGTTTTCCAGCACATATACGGAGTTTCAAAACATTCAAAGAAGTGCAACCGCTATTTTCAAAACAGAACAATAATTAACCAATCTAACAAATAATAGATATATGAGCCCTACCTTTTTGGTTATTTGTTTCCTACTATCATTTTCCGGTATGTTTTGAAAAAAACTGGATATCCTTTTAATAGTATCATCGTGAATTATTAAAGATCAATTCTAAAATAATATTGATATTTATGTCTGTTTATATAACTGTTTATATGAGCGCACTTACTTCAAAACTATTGTAGAATTCATATGGCTGTGCATCAAATCCAACTTGTTCCCAAATACCTTTATCATAATTTGAGATTATTTCTAACGCAGTCTAAAAGACGTAATTAAATAAAGCAACTAACTTTATAATATGTAGGGTGTGCCAACAAAAATAAAACACGGACAACTTTTTACTAACATTTAAAAATAACTTGGACCCCTTTTAATCATAACCCCCAATAGTTTTTGGATAATTGACTTTAAACAAATGACGTAGGGCTTTAAAATAACGTTAAAGTTAGAATCAGGGTTAAGCTTACTCCTACTTTTTAGAAGAGGTATTAAGAAAAGTATTTGAGATTGAGTCATACTTGATTTTAAAGATATTTTCGGGAGTAAAACCATGAAAAATATTTATTAAGAATGAAGTACTTATCAAAAATATAAACATTTAATGGTATTACTAATTTGGTAAATTTATTGAAACATCGAAACGTTGCCAAGCCAACTTGGTATTTTTATATATAATACCACTATTGGCAAAATTTTACCGATATATTTTTTTAATTTTTTACGGGATACATTTTTAAGCAAAAAAATAGGAATAAGATTAAAAAATTGTTTTAGAGAAATTTTGCCATGGCACGAGTGATATTCGGCTAGACTATTTTACGAATATGTTTAGGTACGTACCGTTTTACTGCTGATTTAATTTTAAGTTGATTTTACTTACTAAATCGTTAATTTTTAAATATTGGGTATTTCCATTGTAACGGGTGCGACACTAAAACTGCGTTTTTTTAAGATAATAAAGTGTTTGTTCATATATATCGAGATAAGTTCATATAAAAAAATAGTATACAAAAATTACGTATTTAACTCAAACAAAGTGTCAATAAAAACTTGTATAGAAAACCTTTTATAACGTCATGAATAGCGTAACGGGCGCGGAAAATCGGAAAATACGACCAAGTTGGCTTCTAAAGTTGATACAGTAAAATTTTGGATACGCAGTAATAATTTTTTGTGTAAAACTTGAATAGTAACCTTAAACAAGCACGTATTTTAAATGCACAAATATTGTATACTTTATTTTCTAAAATTTTCTTAAAATGTAACGGGTGCGACATTTGAAAATTTTATCGAGTATTGAAACTCTTTCGTATTTATTCCTAATGTTAGATTCTTGGCATCACAATGTAGGTACGAATATTTTAAGAGTATAAATTACGTCGCAATTAAACTATTTGACTTCAGATAAAGTTCTTATTTTGTTAAATAACACATCTGATTTTTTGTCAAGGTGGGGTCAAGGTTTCGCGGAAATACCCTATTTTCAATTTAAATTTACAAGAATTTACACGTCAAAATTGAATTAATTAGTTTTGGCATAATAAGCTTATTATAATCTAAAACAATCTATTGTTATAGGTTTATAGCAACTAAATATTAAACTACAGATGAACACTTAATTGGTGAATTTTAATTGGTCCAAAAATAATTTGTGGAATAATATTAATTTTTTGAATTTTCACTTAATACAGTACCTGTTTTGTTACAAAAATGCATGAATAAAATATTCGCCGTAATTATAACTATTTAAGTTTAATCTCGCTAGGTTCTTTATTTAAAGCACGATTTACTCAAAAATACCTTTTTTTAATATTTTGGCAAGCTGTACAATTGTTACCAAGTTGGTAACAATTGTACTAACCTTAAGTTTAAAGGTGTTGGTAATACCAACACCTTTAAACTTAAGGTTATAAAGCTCAAAAGCCCTTTAAAATTAGGTACCACTCAAATCCCATTCTCATTTAAAATTTTACGGACATGGCTTAAAATATGTTCCTCTTAAATTAAAAATAAAACAACAATTATAAATGGTAAAATTTGACCTCGATTTGTTTTTGCTGGCCCACCCTTTGTTACTAACCTTATAAGGTTTAGGTATTATTTGTAATTTTTCTGGTGACCCAACCTATCAAAGAATTTATTACATTATCTCAAATACAAAAATAAAACGAAAAAATGACATAAACCTACCGATAGTTCTACGCTTTCATCGCTACTTTGGTAAGGTGTTGGGGGAATATATTCGTCTGAACTCCCATTATTGGCAAAAGGATCAGACTGTTCAGATTCAGATTCACTATCTAAAAATGTACGGGTCAATTTCAATAACTGTTAACTTTAAGTCAAAAATACACCCCTGTTATTTAATTAGCGGATTACTAACATAACACATATTAATTTTAAATTGTTGGTTGCTGTTGCATGCAAACCAAATAATAATTTAAAAAAATTAATAACACGCAAAAAAATAAAAATTAAAAAAATAAATTATAAAATCTAATTAAATTGTTTTGCCTACTTGCCTGCCAATTCCCATGTAAAAGTGTAAAGATTTGTCAAATTTAGATTAATTAAAAGAGACCCACTCTTTTTGGCATTGAAAATTATAAAGTGATACGTTTATATGTATACATATACACTGCGCGTCAAAATTAACGCATAATAAGTAAAAAAATTCTAACTCTAAAACGCCTTTACTAATCTTTATCAATTTTTTTATAAAAATACTTCATCTTATATATCAGTTATATGTTCGAGGGTTTTTCAAGAAAATATGTTTAAAGCCCTTTTATTTAATAATAAAAAAAAGTTTGAAAAATAACTTTTGGGGAATTTTTTTTTAAGTAAATAAGAAATATGCTGTTAAAGACCATATTTTTATTAGTATACCTAAAAATTTTGTACAAATCAAACGAACATTAACGAAGATACAGTGCTTCAAAGTCGCTAAAAACCCCTTTTTAATTATTTTGCTGAAAAGTGGTCATCTTTGATTACTTTAAAGCGCTGTATTTTCGTTACTATTCGTTTGATTTGTACAAACAACATTTTCAGGGTATACTTACAAAAATAAGGTATTTCACAGCATATTTTTTATTTACTTAAAAAAAATTCCCTATAAAAGTTTTTTTGAGCGTTTTTTATTATTAAATAAAAGGGCTTTAAGGATATTTTCTCGAAAAACCCTTGAACGCGTAAACTGAGATATAAGTTAAAGTCTTTTTATCCAAAATTTTATAAAGATTGGTAAAGGCGTTTTAGAATTTTTTACTTATTATTATGCGCGCAGTTTATTTATCATATACAGGGTGTTTCAATCTAAAGTTTCCACACCGGTTTTCACACGTCAATTTTTTTATTTAGGGGCAACAATTTATTTTATATTTTCAACCCTACAACCTTAACGTCTAAGCGGCAAAAAGACCTATTAACTATCATCCCCACCTAGGAATCAAGATTGAGGGGTTTTAAATATTTAAAAAATGGTCCCCTTGAATAAAAAACGTGTGCGAACGTTTTTTGTATTTTTAACACCTTAGAAAAACTAGTACTAGGTATCGATGGTTTTTGTCAAAACCCTTTCCCTATCGAATCGATAGAATCGATGTATTTATAGTTTGGCACCCCTAATTTTTACCGGGATTTGTTTGCAATACCCCATTCCGGAAAAATGTACTATTTATTATACCCGTATATATACTCCGTTGTCTAAAAACCGTTTTTTAACAGCCCTCAAAAATTCCCGGCAGGCCAGGACGCCTCTAAGATAGTGCAATTTGTTACCAATGCAAATTTTACTTACGTTTTAGTAGACACTTTTCCACAAGCTTCCTGGTTCTTAAAGTCACATTTATTTTCTCCATAATGTTTTAGAAAATTAACTGACAATTACTTACTCCATTAAAAAACAGGTGACCAGCGTTTGCAGACAACTTCAGATAATTAACCAATATCACGTGCAATGCCGAATCAAACACGAAATAAACCGAAACGACCGACCGAAACTATTAGCGCGAAAGTTTTAAACTTTTAAATCTACAATAGTAGGTCAGCCTTTTTAAACATTTAACTATTAATAATAATACTAATAATAATAAACCGATTGTATGTAAAAATGCCCTTTTTGTTTTTAAATATTTTTTACAGGTTTTAAAGATATTATATTTAACTATCTATGTTTTATCAAACTTATACTTATTATATTATATACGAACAAAACAAACTTTCAAAATAACAAGTAATAATAATCAAATAAAATGTAAAAGTTATTACATAGGTAACCTATGGGTTATTTTAAATAATTATTCATGTTATCTATTTTATCAAATAAAAGTATTTTTATAGATAATTGTATATAGGTAGGTACTCACAGACAGACTAACGTTAAGAATTATTTATTTTTATTGTATTTACTTTTTACAAAATATGTTATCAAAAACGGTTATAAATTTATAGAGGGTGTCAATAGAAAGTTTTCACTCATTTTACTCAGGTATTACACAAAAAATTTAAAAAAAACGTTTGCACACGTCAATTTTTTTTATTTTAGGCAGGCATTTAAAAAATATATTTTCTATCCCTAAGCGGGGGTAAAAGTTACCCCAATATTTTAAATAGTAAGGGGGGTCGAGTGATACATAATTTTAAAGGTTTTTAATTGCCTGCATTTTGGCATTTTTAAATCGGTTAGTTTGTTCTCGAGATATTTAAGATTAAAATAAATTAAAAAATAAAGTTTTTCTCAAATATGTATCTCGAAAACAAACCGACGGATTTAAAAACTAGGTATACCTATAGGTAATACGTCAATAGGCCTTATTAATACGTTATTAGGCTTTCATAATCAATTAACGCTTTTTCATGGGGTTCTTCCTGGACACAATAATTTTTCTTAGACCTTAAAGTTAAAAAACAATGTCCCCCTAAAATCAAAAATCGATGTGTGAGATTATTATTTTGGGTAACACATAAGAAAAGCGAAAAACTTTCCATTGAAACACCCTGTAAAAATAGGTAAATAAAGGTACACATCCTCAAATTTTTAGTTTCATAAAAATCTCCGTTTTTGATTGAGTGTACTTTTTTGTTTTTTAATATTTTTATATTTTAGGTTTTATTTTAATAAAATATTTAGGTTTTATAAAACAATAAATATAAACGATAAAATGTTCTATAATTGCATAAAATTTAATATATTTAATATATTTTACTATATATTATTTGTATCGTTTAAACCAAATTAATTGTTTAATTTTTATG